CAAATTCTAAGCCAGGTTGAGGTATAAAGTGAGAAAACTTTGGAAGGATACAAATTTTCCAAATCGATCCAGCCTCCTCTCTGCACCCCTCCTCCACCTCTTTGGGACTGCGTTTCCATGGACTGGTGGGGTCTGGGGAAGAGGGTCCTGCAGGAACCTCCTGAAAGGAGGGGAGAAGCTAGCATCCTCCTGCATCGGCCAGAGCATGCACACTGTCTGCTGCCAGGGCCAGGCGAAAGTAAACCCTGAATCTGAGCTGAGGAATGGTGTTTGTTGTTCTACTTTTTGGCACCTAGTGAGGACCTCATGGTACAACAGCCAGGAGGAGACCTGTTGTTCATTGGGAGGAGTGATGCCCATGGGGCAACACCCTTCCAACACCTACAAATGGAAGATGGAGCCTGATACTGGGGTCTCACAAATCAAGGATGGTGGTAGACCACCCAACCCATGTCACACTCTCGAGTGGGATTACCTGGTGCCCTGCTTGCTTCTCCAATCAGGCTGTGACCTCCCCGAGGCCTGGGTCTTGGTCTCATTTTAAGTTGTATTTGTGCATCCAACACAGAGGTTGATATATTCATCACTCTTTCATGTTCCCCTTCCAGGACTTGGCTACTTCTGTATATTGAGGTCATCACATTTGTTGAGAAGTTTATAACCTGGGCTCCCTGTGTTTGTTGGGAGACTTGGGGGGCCATGAATTGAAAGTTTGGGCTATTAACTTCATTTTCCTTTAGCTTTCATCAGATTTTTAGAGGAGCTGCTAATTTAAGATAAGTTGGGAACTGCTGGAATGGAGTTTATATAAGCACCTTTCCCACGCCATTGAGTCAATTCTGACCCATAACAACCCTTTTAGGACAGAGTAGAACTGTCCTTAGGGTTTCCAAGGATATAAATCTTCACAGAAGCAGGCTGCCTCATCTTTCTCCCATGGAGTGGCTGGAGCAGCTGGTGGGTTCGAACCACTCACCTTTGTTTAGCAGATGAATGCTTTAACCACTATGCCACCAGAATGCCTTATATAAGCCCCTTAGTTATAAAAATAGTGTCTAGCTCTTTCCTATTTCGTTTCATTTTTTCTTTACCCCAACTTCATGAGGTAGGTGTTGACTATCCTCAGATTCTATGCAGGAGATAGAGCCTCAGAGAGGGTACCTGCTTCAGGTAGTAAAGCTAGGATTGAACCCAGGTGCCTGCTCAGAGTTGCTATGCTGTGCCCTTTGCCAGCTCCTCCATTAGGTACTATCTTTAAGAATTTCAGCTTTTCTCACTTATCCATTCTGGTTTATCACCCGTGAATGTCTACAACTTAAAAAAAATATACCTTTTTTACTTTTAGTTTGGGCTGATGACCTCTTTGAGTAACATGTATCTTCATGATACATGAACAAAATTTTTTTTTTTGGTCATTCTTCTTCAAGGTGGTCCCTGAGTCCTAAAACCCCCAAATCTGATGAACAAAACAAAATTGTTTTCTTTGTCTTTACATTCATATTTTACAAACTTCATACATGGAAGTAAAGAAGTGAATAATCAATTCCTCTCCTAACAGCTACCATTTATCAGATGTTTACCATGTGCCTGGCATGGGGCTGTTTTACACTCACGATTGCATTTGAGCCTCCCAATATCCCTATGAAGTAGTTAACTACCATTATCCCTATTTTGTAGTTAAGGAAGCTGAGGTTTAGGCCTGTGAAGTGAATTGCCCCAGGTCACATGGCTACTGAACAGCAGAGGTGGGATCTGAGCCAAGATCTGGGGTATTAACTGATACCCCATCTTGCCAAGCCACTTATCTCTTTACTTTGGTTGGCAGATTTATCCTCGTACATGCCCTAGTGGTGAGAAAAGACCCTGCCTCTCTTCCTCATGCTTTGGCCTTTCACTTTGGAATCCAGCAGTGTTTGGGTAGCCAGAGAGTATCAAGTAGGGCTGCTTTCCTGCGAGAGAGAGAGAGAGAGAGAGAGAGAGAGAGAGAGAGAGATTTGCCCCAGTGGCTCTTTATGAACTCTGGGTCTACCCTGGGCCTGGCCATAGTAATGTGGCCTTGAGAGGCCAGTGTAATACAGGTTCTGGCTCAGGGCAGATCTTGAACCCAGCTCTTTTTGGGAATGGGAGCCCCTGCTTGGCCAACATTCCTCCTGGAAAGAGGCAGCAGACAGCTACTGCTTCTCTGCCACCTGAGTGGCCTCCAAACATCAGCCAGATCTTAGGGCATCAGAACTGAGCAGCTCAGGCAATGCCTTTGGTGCCTGTGGCTTCAGATATCTGAGGTCCATATTATTATTTCCCTCGTCATAATTTGCAGTTCAGTGTTTATATCACAATGATCTCATTGAATCCTTTGTGTTTCCTCATAAGCTGTGATGATCATGTCCGTGTGATAGATGGGGAAACTGAGATGAAGAGGCAAAGTGAGTTGAGCAAGGTCATACAGAGCCAAGACTTCAATCCAGGTCCTACTGATTCGAAATTCCATTCAACTGAACTAGACCAATGATTTTCAAACTTCATTCTGTGGAGCCCTAGGGTTCTCTGGGCAGGCCAGAGGAAGGTTCTGAGGAAGAGGTAGAGCAGGATGAAGGGGGTGTCATCCTTTCCCCACTTCACTCTGGGCAGCTCTTATATAAGGATTCAGTGTGAGGTTGCTTTGAAAGAAAATCTGTGTTGTTAACAAGTGGTTTATGGTGGACTGCCCCAAGCTCTTCTTTCTTCCCCTGGAAATGAAGTTCTTCCTTTCCCAGGGCCACCTTTTGTTTTTAGGGGCAAGAAGAGACCCCCTTCTGTTAGAGGATCATCTCAATCCCAGGATGGCAGTAGAGGGGAATGTGAAAGTTACTAGACAGAGGTAGTACTTGACTGTACTCTTAGCTTTGGTTGTGACTTAGATTAAGTTATTCACCTCAGTTTTCCTATCTGTGAAAATAAGGGTATTGGCCTAGATAATTCCTAAAATCTAGTTCAGCTTAAATAACCTGTAGATCTGGAGTATCACAGGATCTTAATTAGGGGCAGTCACCTGAAATTGAGTGAAAACGTTATTGTTTTTTTTGTATGTGCATTTTTCCAGAAGAAGTGTCTGTAGCTTTCATTAAAGTCTCAAGGGATCTACAATACAAAATTTCTGGTTTAGACAATCTATAACAACTAAACATGAATTGTTGCTGTTACATGCTGTTACAAGTTGTCGCCGACTCATAGAGACCTTCTGTACAACAGAATGAAACACCGCCCAGTCCTGTGCCAGACTCATGATCCCCATTATACCTGAGGCCATCGCTGCAGCCACCATGTCAATCCATCATTTTGAGGTCCTTCCCCTTTTTTGTTGACCCTGCACTTTACCAAGCACTAAACATGAGAGCTCTGGTAGCATAGTGCCTAAGGCATTTGACTGCTAACCAGAAAGTTGGGAGTTCATACCCACCAGCTACTCCTTGCCAGGAAGGTTGGGCAATCTACTTCTGTAGTAATACTGCCTTAGAAACCCAAGGAGGGATTGCTATGAGTGAGATCTGACTCCACAAACATGAGAGCTTACATAAAATCCAGAAAGTAAAAAAATACTAGAAGTTGGAATTCAGGGTACCAGCTCTAGGGGAAGGATCTCTGGTAGTGTAGTGCCTAACGCATATGACTGCAAACCAGAAGACTGGGGGTTCAAACCCACCAGCCACTCCCTGGAAGAAAGATGGGGCAATCTACTTCTGTAGTGATACCGCCTCGGAAACCCATCCTGCTCAGCAGCAGTGACTTTTGTTTTTTGTTTTTATAGTTCTAGGGCAGGGCTTTTTGTCTCTGTTGGCTCTGGAAGATCTTTGTCTCTTCTGAGCTTCTTCCTGGACAATCTTCGATGGTTTGACATCTGTCTTAACCCATCTCTGCTTCTTTCTTTTGCTTGTCTAATCTCTTTTATATCTCAAAAGAGAATTGATTTTAAACACACTCTACACTAATCCTGTCTCATCAACATTACAAAGACAACAAATTCCCAAACAGATTTTAGCCACGGGCATAAAGTTTAGGATTGTGTATATTTTTCGGAGACACGATTCAATCCAAAGCAAAGCCCTTAGCTCTGCTTGGGTCCCTTGCCCTCTCAGGGAACAAGCCTACTAGGGTGCTGGTAAGGGAATCCAGCAGGATTGTCATACTAGGGATAAGGCCAAGGCCAGACACTGATCAATGTTGCCCACAGCAGGAAGCAGCAGCAGGAGGATTTAGATGCTGATGGGGGTCAAATTAGGCAAGCAGGATTTAACGGACAAATCCAGGGGAGCACTTTCCGCCAGAGGGCAGCAATAACAAAAGCAGAGATGAGGCCGGAAGAGTCCAGGACCTTTGACCTATTTCAATTGGCTGCTGCTTCATTGTGACAGTGAACCTGTCAGTTGTTGGGACTGGAGGACAGAAGGCAAGGGCAGAAGGAGCCCGGGACTGCCACAAATCTGAAGGAAATTCAAGACCCTAAGTGCCACCCCATTTACGAAGGACTCAAAGCCACACAGGAGAAATAACCTTTAATATCTTTCTTTCCACACCCCAAAGTGCCACTATTCAGTTAAGTATAAAGAGGGGCTTGGGAGGTACGAAGTCACGAGACAACACCGCCCTCGGTTGTCCCCTGGGCGTACACACACGCTCTGCCCCAGCACGGGCGGCCCAGCACACGCACACATGCAGACCACAGGTACACCGCACAAACACTCACGTGTACTCACAGTTAAATACATGTAGAGATAGATTCATTTATATATATATATATACAGAGAGAGAAAGAGAGAAAGAGAGAGAGAGAGAGAGATGTGAATCCCGGCCGGAGTCGGGTCCTCCAGGCTCTCAGCATGCTGGGCCCAGCTCTCCGCGCTGTACCTGGCACCCATGCCCCTGCCAGAAAAGCAGCTGCTCCTCTGCCCGCCCCCCTCCCCGGTTCCCCTTGGGGCCGGTGTCTACAGGGCGCTGACACTCCCCTCCCTCCCTCCGCCCGCCCTCCTCCCACGATGACTTCTCCCCAGGAAAAGGAAGCTGGACGGGGGGGGGGACCCTAAAACTGTCTGGGCGCCAGGGGCATGTTGGTTTTGAAGCCGGGTTGCCCATTGGCCACATCGGCCGCGGCATCGCAGCCCCCGTTGCTGGCGCCCCCATCGGTCCCGGGGCTCTCGGATTCCGCCAGGAGCTTGAAGGTGAAGAGTGGGCCCGAGTCGCGGCGACCGCGGCGCCCCGGGGGTTCCGCCGCGGGCAGGCTCAGCAGGGCGCCGGGCGCCTTCCACTCCGGGAAGGCGCACAGCTCGAGCGGCGGCGGTGCGCCGCGGCCCAGGTAGCCGGGGCTCGGCGAGGCCGAAGGCAGGGTTCGCTGGCTGCCGCTTAGGCAGCTGCCACTGTCGTCCAGCGAGTCCTTGCGCGACTGCGAGCGCTCCAGCGAACCGCCGCGCGTCCACGGGCGGTAGGTGTAGGCGCAGCCGCCCAGGCGGCGACGGCGACGGCGGCGGCGGCGACCGCGACACTGGCACCCGAGGATGCGCATGAAGGCGCGCTTGAACTCCTTGCTGGAGCACGGGTAGATGATGGGGTTGAGGCAGCTGTTGAAATAGCCCAGCCAGAACACCACCTTGAACACGGCGTCAGGGGGCTTCAGGGTGGAGAACAGGGAGCCTGCAGGGGGAACGGGGTGGGGTAGGCAAGGGCAGAAAGACAGCAATTTGTGAGTAATTAGGCCTTCTCTCCAACATGCTCCACCTAAACTTTGTCAGCAGGCAGCATTCCTCCTGCTAGGTCTTTGCCCAGACTAGTTCTGCTTGGAATGTGCCCCTTCCCATCTCAGAACGTATGAATCCTTCATTTTAGGACCAACCTCAAAACTTCTTCTCTAATCTTTAAACCTTAAACCAGAAATATCCTCCAAATCGTCTTTAAACCAAACGGTAGCCAAACAACTATTCTGGCTCATAGTGACCCTATAGGACAAGTTAGAACTGCCTCCGCCCCATAGGGTTTCTGAGGCTGTAATGTTTACCAAAGCAATCTCTCATCTTTCCCTCTCGGAGCCGCTGGTGGGTTCAAATCTCCAACCATTTGGTTAGTAGCCAAGCTCTTAAACAGTGCACCACCAGGGGCTCCTTTAACCAAACAATGTTGTTGTTGTTGTTATGTGCCGTCGAGTCGGCCCCAACTCATAGCGACCCCTCCTTGGGTTTCCGAGGCAGTATCACTACGGAAGTAGGATTGCCCAACCTTCCTTCCGAGGAGTGGCTGGTGGGTTTGAACCGCCAGCCTTCTGGTTAGCAGTCAAGTGCTTTAGCCACTATGCTACCAGAGCTCCCATACACACACACACACACACAATATTAAATATATAATGATATATTTAATTATTTAAAGAAAAAATGGAATTGTACTTTATAGAGTATTTTGTAACTTCAAGCCCAGCATCCATAACCTTGCCTCCCCTCCTATGGTAGGTGACTTTTGTATTCCTGTCATATCTCTTCTGTTAGATTAAGCTTTCCAAGGGCCTGGTCTGTGCGCCATCCTTGAATCTCCCAAAATGCCCCCCATAAGCAAGTCTGCAGGAGCTCTGGTAGTGTAGTGCCTAAGGCACTTCACTGCTAACCAGAAGGCTGGTGGTTCAAACCCAACAGCCACTCCTCAGAAGGAAGGTTGGGCAATCTACTTATGCAGTAATACCACCTCAGAAACCCAAGGAGGGGTCACTATGAGTTGGTGTCTGACTCCACGGCACATAACAACAACAACAACAACAAGCAAGTCTGTGTAAATAGAAGGCAGATGGACTGTATTTTGTATGAAACGCATATTTGTTTATTACCTGAATGAGAGGGATCTTACAAGTTCAATCTTCTATTTTGTAGATGGGATAGGCCCAGAGAGTGGCTGAACATCACACAGATTATGCTCAGATGCCACAATTCTTATCATTGATTTTGGATAGTACTGCAATTTCCTGTCTCTAGCACTTCATCTTCTTGGTTATGTGAAGTTTAGCCTATTCTTACAGAGAGCCGTAACTCCTATTTCCCTGCTTATCAAGCAAGTTATGGTAGTTGGGAGGAGATGGCTGTATTCCTGGTGCTGGGCTAAGCCACCACCAGGGTTTTAAACTTGCAAAGAGGGTTATCCATAACTGGTTGTATGTAAGTGCTAACTACAGGAATGCTGTTGTTGTTAGCTGCTGTCAAGTTGGCCTCAGTTTCCTGGTGGCCCCATGCACAAGGAAACGCTGCCTAGCCCTGTACCACCACCACCCCGTGGTTGGTTGTGATCCATAGGCTTTCATTGGCTCATTTTGGGAAGTAGATCACCAGGCCTTTCTTTCTAATCCTTCTTAGTCTGGAAGGCCTGTTGAAACCTGTTCAGCATGATAATAACACACAAGCCTTCCTTGACACACAGGTGGTGGGTGTGCCTGAGTGCATTGTTTGGGATTCGAAATTGGGTCTCCTACGTGGAAGGCAAATATTCTATCACTGAACGATTAATGCCACTCTAACATCTCTTCTCAACTCAGGGGACGACAGTTTGCTCTAGGTGAGGCACATGAGGGAGCCACTATGTGGCCTGATTTGTTACAAGGCCTTCACCATTAGGTTTGTGTCCCACCATTTGAGAGACACACTTTTTTTTTTTTTTTTAAGAGACACCTTTTTTCAACAACATAAATGGTGGCTATTCAGGTGGGCTTTGCCAGATGGAATACACAGGAATCATATCAACTACATACCTGAAAAGAGACAATGGGGAAGCTGAATATCTTTAGTTAAAACAAATTCAGGCACTGACTGTAGAACAGATCATCAATTGCTCATAGTCAAGTTCAAATTGAAGCTGGAGACAATTAAAATAAGTCCACAAGAGCCAAAATATGATCTTGATTATATCCCACCTGAATTTAGAGACCGTCTGAAGAATAGATTTGATGCATTGAACACCAGTGACTGAAAACCAGAAGAATTGTGGGATGACATCAAGAAATCATACACGAAGAAAGCAAAAAAAAGTCCTTAAAAGACAAGAAAGGAAGAAAACACCAAAATGGATTTTGACACTTGCTTTTGAATGAAGAATAGCTAAAGCAAATGGAAGAAATGACAAGATAAAACAGCTGAGCATCAGATTTCAAAGCGCAGCTAGAGAAGGCAGAGCCAATTATTATAATGAAATGTGCAAAGACCAGGAGTTAGAAAACCAAAAGAGAAGAACACGCTCGGCATTTCTCAAGCTGAAAGAACTGAAGAAAAATTCAAGTCCTGAATTACAGTTTTACAAATTATAATTACAAAATTACAAGGTTCTATAGAAGCAGCAGTCAGGACATTAGACGTCGTGTAGCATTGGGAAAGTCAACTGCGAAGGAACTGTTTCAAGTGCTGAGGAGCAAGGATATCTCCTTGAGGACTAAGGTGCGCCTGACA